CCGGGCCGGGGGGGAGAAGGGAGCTGCTGGCCAGCGCCGTGGGGGGGAGGGGATCGGTGCTGAAGGAGCCGGGCGCATGGCACCTGATGGCAGCTATAAGGGATGCCGCGCGCCCTTTACAGCTGCCATCAGGCACCCCCCATCAGTTGGCGCCCTGGGCAGCTGCCGGGCTCGCCCGTGCCTCTGTCCTGCCCTGCGATTAACTGGTCGATCTTGGGGGGCTGACCAGTTGATCACAAGGCTTTTGAGGGTCCCTCCAATGCCCTTCACCCCCAAGATAAATGCCACGCTGATGCTACTTCCAGGGACAATGGAGGTAGCGCGGGCTTCTGGTGGGGTGGAGGGAGTTCTGCAGCTGCACGCCAGGTCCCAGAAGTGCACAGGCTGGTCTTCCTCCCCCCTCAACAGCTGGTGTGGTACTTAAAATGCCAGTCTGTCATGCGCTGGAGACTTTGTTCTCCTGCTGCCTTCCTGCTCGCAGGGAAGGGGGTGTGGGTCTGGGACTGCGCAGGCTCTGGTTGCTCGGGCAGAACGCGCTGCCATGGGAAGTGGAGGAGCAAGGCGCATGCTGCCCGAGCAATTGTGGCTGGCGTGGTCCAGGACTCCTTCTCACCCCAGCACAGGAAGGCAGCAGGGGAATAAAGTTCCCAGCACGCTGGCTCCAGCTGCTCAGGTGACGTGCGCTGCCATGGGGTGCGGAAGAGCAAGGTGCACACTGCCCGAGCGGTTGGGGCTGGCGTGGTCCGGGACTCCCCCTCGCCTGTTCCCACCCAACGCAGGAAGGCATCAGGCGCTTGACAGACTAGCGTTTCAGGTACCGTGTTGCTGTTTGGGGGATGAGAGAACATCCCACACACTTCCTGGGCCTTGGTGCGCAGCTGCAGGATCCCCAGGTACCAGTCCCTGTACCCTCCCCCCGCCCGGAATCCCAAAGTACCCTGGCCCCAGCACCAATTGGCAACCTGCCCTGGCACCCACCAGCACCCTGTCCCCTGTCCCGGCACCCTGTCCCCTATCCCAGCATCCACTGGCACCCTGTCCTCTGCCCCAGATCCTTGCCC